ACAATTTTTTGATTGTAAAATTTTGGTTAAAAAATTAAATTTGAATTCCTTACATTACTTATGCATAATTTTTTGGTATTTTTGATGAAATTTATTTTTTTAAACTTTTTCATTGGTACCTACTATATAATTATTGCAAAAACAAAAAGTTACAAAACCCATGTCCAACAGTGAAATAACGTAACCTATTATTTTTTTAAATTTGAGCTTAGCACAGGTAAAAGGTGCATAATAAAATTTATTTTTGCAATAACAGGTTACGAAACATCAAGTAATATAATGCCGTACTGGTAAATTTATCCATTTTCTATTGCACTTGTTTCATGCACTCGATTCAATTTGTGCACGTGTCCGCAGAATTCTTTTGTTTTTGTAAAAAGATACTTCCTATTCGGGTTAATTTTTATTTAGCAACTTTTTTGTTATTTGTCGCATACCCTCTTGTTACATCCTGTAACTACAATAAGAAAAATTTGATGCCACTATTATTTTTATACCTATTTAAATTTTATGTTTTTATTTGTTTTTTGAGTTAGAAACGGCCAATCTGGTTGCAAAAAATTTATATCTCAAAAATCTTGTAAAATATTTTTGAAACGTAATTTAAAATATATCTGTCTTTCAGTTTCGTTTCTTCTTAATAACACCCGCTCTACGCACAATGTAACACAAACTGCCATCCACCACATCTACAGTCATGTGATATAAAAGAACCAATTAGAGCAAGCCCAAGCTGATCTATATAATACAATATCTTTGGGTATATCTGATAAAAAATGCACAAAAAGTATTTTATTTTTTAATACCATCTGTGCATGACTATGCACGTAGATTCCAAATGATTTGTTCATACTATAAGCTGATTTTAAATATATGATTAACTTTAATTTTTCAGAGGTAAACAATAAAATAGAATTTTCCACACGTGTAGGCTTCGAAGATAAATTTAAATCTACGTTTATTATGTTTTTTACGGTATTTGTAATCTGCATGGAAACTAAATATGCATATGTTTATGAGCTAATTAACGAGAAATTTAACAATTGCATCAGAACAATTGGTAAAAAAATTGTATATATATAATTTTTTGTGGTGATTTTTCGATATATATATATCGAAAAACCGTCATATTTTTGGTATTAACGTTATAATTTGTTAAGTCCCTATCGGGTTGTTTAACATAAAAAGCAATGTTTCAGTTCAAGAACAAATTTACAATAAAAAACGTGTCATTAACAAAAGGTTGACAATTGTAAAATAAATTGATTTAAAGTTACTTAACCTTGTGAATTCGATTCAATAAAAAATTAATCAAGGATTTTTTAAATGGAACAGAGCGCTAAACAAATAAATGCGATTTTGCAACGCTTTTATTGTTCTCTTTACTTAATCACAAAATTAATATAGATAAAAATTTAATTTTAATTATTAGATAATCAAACATCATTTTATTTAGCAATAATTTAATACTTTATTTACTAATATGAGAGTGTTAGATACTAATAGATAGTTGTTTTTATGTTATACGGGGTCTTGCCACAAAAAATATAGAAAAACATGAACATTTTAAAGATGTGTTGTTCATGCAATAGTTATTATTACTTAATTTTATAGCTCAGGACTGGCATAAAATTATTATTATTATATAGTTTTTTTTTGCTTGTCCCGTTAGTAATCATGGAATCGCCCATTTGTCAAATCGTTTGTCATTACATTAATCAAAACAAACTATAATTTCAAACAAAAATGACAAGAACCACCTGAAACTTTTTTTTCTTTATCCAACCAGAAAGTACGCCACTGATCGACTAGGAACTTTAGGCTAATCTGGTTGCCTAATTTAATTTATTATATTATGGTTGGTAACAAGCAGCCTTTCCAGATTCTGTCAAAAAAAGTTGCCAGATTTTGTTTAAATTTAGCTTAATTACAAAAACAACAATGCAATTTGTTAATTTGGCGTTTTTATTAATTGTTGATTATTTCCCTCATTATAATATGAACCAATCAAAAGCCTTGAATTTTCGAATAAATTTTGTTTAAATAAACGATTAAATCACTAGAACTTTTTTACAGCGATTAAATTTTAGCCTCCATATTGGATTTTTGTTTACGATTTTATGGTGTTATTTACAAGTTTTAACATACAGTTTTTTTTAAATAATAAAAAACAAGTTATTTAGTTTACGAAATATCAATTATTAATTATTACATATCTTTAAATTAATGGAATTTTGTTAAAAAAATTGTTAATAAATTTTGACATATACGTCAGATTTTATTAATTGTCAAATAGAGTGCCTTTTAAAATATTTTTGCATTTATCACTATGGCAACTAAAATGTAAACAGCGTCATTTTAAGTGTTTATATCATAAATTTAATGGTAATTTGAAAAATATGGATAGATTTGGACAATTATCTTTACAAAAAATCGATGTCGAAATTACAAACACAGTTCCAAAAAACACAAAAAGGACACACCATTCAATATGGCAGCAATTTTTAGAATTCTGTAAAGAAAGAAGCTACCAACTGGACAACAAAACTAATTTAAAGGAATTGGCTAAAATTTTGAAGGACTGGGGATATAATATGCGAAAAAAAAATGGCGAAGAATACAAAGAAGGAGTAATTAAAACGATGTGGAATATAGTAGCTAAAAAGATTCAAGAAAAGTACCATAACGAGTATGGCATAACTTTTGATCCCTTCCGGGATATTACTTTTAAAGCTGCTAGAGATGCCCGAAACGCAAAACGCAGAACTCTTCAGCAAATTCCTTCAAAAAGAAAAGAAAGCTCAACTGCATTAAGCACTGAAGAGCATACAAAAATAATTCACTTGTGGGATGAAAATACCCCTGAAGGTTTACAAAGAAAACTATATCACATAATAGCAGTGGAATTAGCCTGGAGAGGAGGAGAAGCCAGCAACTGTCTAACAAGTTATTTTAAAGAAGAACTTGATCATGAAGGAAATCATACAGGTAAAAAATTTATATCAAAGTGTTAAATCTAATATTTTACTTAATTGTAAACCTATATATTTTTCAGGTAGAGTGGAATATAATCCCATAACTTCAAAAACAGCCCAGGGAGGTGATAAAAAGCTGACAGACAGTAAATGGTTGATTCAAAATCCGGATGAAAATGTTTGCCCTGTTCGGTTATTAAAAAAGCTACTTAGTAGAAGAGGAGACCACATTAAAAATGAAAGATTGTTCTTAACGCCGAATCCTTACTGGAATAATTCTGGATCCATAGGATGGTATAAGAACTGCCCATTGGGAAAAAATGAGGTGTCAAAATGGACAAAACATGCTGCCGAGAAAATTGGTATTAAAAATGCTAAAATAACCAACCACTCCAACCGATCGACAGCTGTCAGCAAACTTGCTAAAAGTGGTACTGAAGAACAACAGCTTATAAAAATAACGGGGCACAGTAGCGCATCATCACTCAAGCCTTACCTTCAAATGGATCCACAACATCATTTTGAAATAATAAATAAAATGAGAGACATGCCAAATAATACATCTTCTTGTAGCAGCTCAAAAACATCCTCTACAGTCAACAGCAATGATAATCAAACAAACAATTACTATAATTGTAACTTTTATACTAATTGCAATAATACTAAATAGTTATATATTATATAGGTTTATATTATAAAAGTTAAAAAAAAATGTTTTGTATGTTTTAAAATAAACAAATATTATTTATTTGTCATAGTTTCATTTAATTCGAGAAATAATCTAGACGTATATCACTCAACCTATAAATTTAATCTGTCAAACTATGCTCAGTAAGTTTTTATTTGATTTTTCTTTTTGGAAAATAGTTTCATGCAAAATAATTAAAAATAAAACCCCTCGACCGCTACGCGGTCTCGTGATTTTATTAAATTATTTTGCATTCAACATTTTCCAAGAAAAAACAAACAAAAAACTACTGAGCCTAGTTTAACCGATTAAATTCATAGTTCTCGTGATATAATATATGATTATGTCATTTTTGTAATGAAGGTAAATTCAAACAAAATCTGGCAACTTTTATGACAGAATCTAGTGCATTTCTTTCAAATTTTAGGTTAAATTGTAAATATCTTAACTAAGGGAAGTGCTTTTGAATTTATTTACACAAATTGAATGTTTAAAGTTTAATCTAATTTCATCTGAGTAAACAGAAAGAAAAAACCGATGAAAAAATTAATTTTGTGGTTATGGAGTTTTTAAAATAGGTACAAAATTTTCTGATCATTGCTTAATCTAATAGCTGAATGAGTAAATAAATACAGAAGGGTATTAGAGCTTTAAGGGCATAAAACTTTTGTATTTATTGAGTATGAAAGACAAATTTTTAATAACAATTTTTTACAACTGGCAACGCGCAGCTACTTGGTTGGTTGGTATCTATGTACTCACAGAACACAAGTGTGTAACCAGTGGCGTATCACAAAAAATATAAACAACTTCTAATGCATATTTTTTCTTTATCTTTGGAAAAATATTTTTTAAATATTTTTCCGGTACACTCTATGTCAAAAACTTTGACAAAAAGTATTCAGTATTTTAATATATTACATTAATTACATAACACCCTGTATTAGATAATACTTTAAACAAGGTAAACGTTTAAAAACTTTTGGGTTGAAATGTTTTTAGTGTAAAAATATATTATTTATACTTGTTAATGATATTTTTGGTGGATCCTTGACTAAATATTTACATAAATAGGTTTTTATCATAACAAGGTAGTTTAAATACATAATAATTGTGTATACTTACCAGTGTAATTATCAAGTTTTGAAGGTATAATTAGAAGGATGTTACGAAATAAAAGTCGATATTATAAATAATCTTTTTAATTATGAACAACAGCAAAAAACCAACAATTTATATTTGCAAAAAAATTCGAAGCTATGTACATTATTTACATAGGTCTATACAATAATAAAAATATTCACAAATTAATAAGGAAATAAACAAATCTCTATTTAAAGATATTCAGTTCATTATGTAATTACAATATAATAAAATATCGGGAAGGAAGATTTTTCCCCAAAAACTTCCGAGATCACAAATTCTTAATAAAAATTAAAAAAAGCTAAATGAGTGCACCATAGTATTAAGCTAGTTTAGTTTAATTTGTTTTAGTTATTTTAGTTATATATCAAAATTAAAAAGTTGATTTTTTGCAAAAATGTAGGAATTTTTAGCTAATCAGTCTTCAATACGATCACTTTTATTCAATACCATGATGCCTTTCGAAAAATAAAATAAAACAAATCAGTCCTAATAAAAATCGCGACAGATGGTGGGAGTAACAAACTTTATTAATAAATACCTAAATGTTTTTCACGGTCCATCGCGCAGCTGAAGCTTTTAAATTCTCAGCGAGAAGAACGGAATTAATAAATAGTGAAAGAGAATCGAATTTAAAAACCTCAGGCTCGAGGAAAAATACTTCAAACGCCCTGTAGATTATTGCACTATATTCAAAGCATTTTTCGCGCGCGACAAACCACACTATCCATAAAAACAACAACCACATAACAAACTATGGCCCTTCACATCTCTTCTTTCAAGTAATAAAAAGTCCTTAAAACCTAAGAACACAGCACAGGTTTTGCTTCTGACATTGCACGCGGAAAATCTAGTCGTACATGGACCAACCTTGCGGCACCACCTGATCGCAGGGTTGCCGGCTGCTCCAGTCGCACTCCGACCTCGCCAGCCACGGGTGGAAGAGAATGTCTTCGGAGGTGAGCCGTTCCGTGGGGTCCCTCCTTAACAGGGAGTTTATCAGACACCTCGCCCTGGGAGAGACGCACTCGGGAATAGCAAAGTTCCCCTTGGAGATCTTCAAGAACAACGAGGCGTGCTCTGAATCGCTGAAGGGGTACCTGAAACAAAAATGAAAAATTTAGTTTTATGGCTCATTTCATCGTTTCTGCTGTTGTTCAACCAAAGTCTAAATTTTTATGTATTTTGAAATAACATTTTAGCAATTAAAGTGCCTTATTCTCTACGTTTTTAGTTGTTTTATCTAAATTGTAAAATTAGCACAGTTTAGCATATAGGATAACGATTTTTATAAGTCAAAAAGTGTGCGTTTCGGGTGTTTCAAGATTCTGCCTCTATGTCCTGACCATTGTTACATTTATTTGAAATTCAGCGAATTTTCTTAGGGAAACATTCCTTAAAACTGCATGCCTCCATAAGTAGAAAACACACTTATAACGTAATAATTATCAATTTTTTCGGGACTGTGACGCAATCCACCAATACTACGATAAATAATCTCAAATCACAACGTGGCAAAACGGTTGACAGTTTTTTTTTTCGTATTTCCAATAGTTAGAGGCACAATGGCCATTCAGCCAGTTCACTTGAGTACAGATTTTGAAGACTAATTAACTTAAAAAATTACGCGTTTCTTCTAGTTTTTTTTATCGCACATTATAATTTGGAATGTTTTCTTTCAACATCCATCAGATTTAATGCGAAAAAAACATATTTATTTTTTTACCCTTAGTATAGTTTGTCATGGAATGACCCTTTTATGATTTTTTATAATTCGGTCGTTATTTTTATCCCAGTCAATTTAATTCACCTGCTGTACCCTTTAAAATCGTAAAAAACATAAATTAGTGGCAGGTTGATGCTCTGATGTTCACCTGTTCGCCCCCATCACGGTAGCATAGTACGCTATAGGGGTTAAAAAAAGAAAACAAAGGATCTTCGGCGGCAGGTGCCGTTCGCATATGTAGAGTGCATCAACATCTCTTTGTTTAATTTGGGAAATCAGAAAGTCCGTTATATGTATTAAGAAATCATCAAATCCTTGAATTATTGAACAATTCTCCAGATAATTTAGGGTCATTCCATGACAAACGATACTGAATACCGAATAATTATGTTTCTACCGATTTTTTGGCAATAATAACGATTTTACCCTTTTTTGCCGATTTATCAATCGCACCCGAAGCTGCTTAAGTTATGTTTAAGGTGAATGCATTCTATTTATGTTTAATTGTTACTAACTTATTTTGTAGTACCTACAGACTAATAAAACACCGATTTGCCCATATAAAGTGTTAAATTTTTAACATGTAACACCCGAAACAGAACCATGGTAACACCCGAAACAAAATAAAATTTTATAAAAAAAAATAGTAAAACGTTATTTGTGACAGTGATCATGTGGTAGATGGTTGGTAAATATTACCTATATTTTTGGATGCCCGTAATTTTTAGGAATGTTTCCCTAAGAAAATTTGCTGAATTTCAAATGTTCAGGATTTTGACAAACAAATTGACAAATGTCACCACTGACAAAATAACGATATTTGCCTACTAATTCGCTTGGTATTTTTTTGTGGCGAGACAAATTATGACCACTAATAAATTTGTTTTCCTTTTATTACAAAAATTCCTCATAAACACCCAACTTAAGATACAGTTATATATTTAAAATATACCCCTTTATTGCTAAACGATCTAAAACTCTTGACTTGAGCGTATCACAAAAGGAGAACCTTCTAAATTATATATCAGAAAAACTAGTTTATTGCCTTTTTTGGTTTGGTCGCTTCGAGCGAATTTACCTGCTCTTTTTTACAGACAGGTGCAGATTTTAAGGGTTTATCTAGGCTTTGAGATTTTTTCTGCTTTTAATTAGGACAGGTGTATCAAATCAAAGATTTTTGGGTTTATAGTTTCTCATAAATCATTTTTAGGGCCATGCAATTGAATTTTTGATAACATCTCGGGAAAGTTCGTTATTTCGCGAATTCCACTAAAATATTAATATTTTCTTTCCCAGCCCTTGAAGCGTAACGGATCTACCGCATGTCGTTTAATAAGAAGTTAGGGCAGGTGACCAAGACACCAGTTGTCCGTTTTTATGTATAATTATTGAGGGGGTTGAATTTTACTTTGTATAGACCTACCATATGGGATGATGATTTCACGAAAGTAAAGAAAATAATTAAGACAGGAAGTCGTTGTTCCCACGTCACATCATAATGTACGTTTCACTCAAATTGAAACTACTGGAACAATTAAGAACCAGATTGATCTTTATCAGTATGAGAATTGGTAGAGCACGAAAACTTTTATTATTCGAGTTTAAAGTCAAGTTCAAGGATTTTATTGGCGAGGAATTTAATACCGTAACAGTACAGAAAGGCAAGTCAAGCGTGAACTGTAAAGCATAAAACGCAAAATCAAAGTAGTAAATCTTCTAGCTTACCTTCCAACAAGCATGGTGTAAAGAATGACGCCCAGGGACCACATGTCCGCCGCTCGGCCACTGTATTGTCCGGCTTTCAGGATTTCCGGGCTGACGTATGCCGGACATCCCCGTTTGTCGTGCAACCAGTCGCTTTCGCTGTTGTCTAAAACTACAGCGTCCTCCAGGGACTCCAATTTCAGTTGCGTCCTGAAACAAGTAAAAAGAAATGTTAGTTGTACTCTCTTAAAATGAATTAGTCAAAAATAACTAATTATAAGTCATATTTGAATAATTGTCATAGCGAAAAAGCAGTCACTAATAATTAGTCAAATTCTACTGAATGAAATAGCCAAATTAGTAGATTTAAATTTAAAAAAGTTTTGACCCAGCCGGGGATTGAACTCAGGTCTGTCACTTGTCAAGCTATTGTCATAACCCATTCGGCTATCAGCCGCTCTTATAAAAATCAATTTTATTTGTCAATAAATATTGTTCATAATATTTTAAAGTTGAATATATTATTTGTGTTATTGTTTTGAGGTAAACTTTTTGCATCTTTATTTGTTTTTATGGGTCATTTAACCATGGAGCTTAGGTATATGCATTTAATTCAATTAATACTTTGTTGTTGGCCGCAAACGATTAAAGAAATTAGTTACACAACACCGATTTTGTCCATATAAAGTGTTTAATTTTTGTACTTGTAACACCCGAAACAGAACCATGGTAACACCCGAAACAAAGTAAAATTTTATAAAAAAAACAGTAAAACTTTATTTCTGACGGTGATTATGTGGTAGATGGTTAGTAATTATTATACTTTTGAAGGCCAGTAATTTTTAGGATAGTTTCCCTAAGAAAATTTGCTGAATTTCAAATAAATGTAACAATGTTCAGGACATAAAGGCAGAATCGTGAAACACCCGAAATGCACACTTTTTAACTTATCCTATATGCTTTTCTGTACTAATTTTACAATTTAGATAAAACAACTAAAAACGGAGAGAATAAGGCACTTTAATTGCTAAAATATTATTTCAAAATACATAAAAATTTATACTTTGGTTGAACATTTAATGTAACACCCGAAACGATGGAATGACCCACCACATTTTCGTGGTTATTACGGTGTTTTATTTAAAAAGTTCTCTGTTACTTATATACAGAGTATTTAACGCCTTTTAAAAGAGCCTTTCTCTAACTTGATTTACCTTGATGCTATCAGCTCTGAAAGTAATTTTTTTAAATTTTTTTCGCATATTTTTGAAAATATTAAGAGAATGGCTTGTCTTACCAAAAAATTTTAAGGAAAATAGTTGTAGAAAATTTAATTTTCTACAAAAAAGTCCTTACCTTTATATCGCAAAATTAAAGGGTTATCCTGTTAAATTAATTATTCCTTACTATAACGGTTTTTTGTCATTGAAAGGTTTAAATTGTTGTCGCAATTACAACCAATAAAGTTAACATTAAGACTCGACTAATTATAAGCAATCGTGTGTTGTAAGGTGTTGCAAATAAATCTTGTGCAACTCTATGGCAGCACTGTCGATATACTAAACTCTTATAATATTTATACTTGTATCGCAAGCTTGTACATTTTTGGCAAGTGCTCTTTCGTAAACGTAAAATAATTAGGCAAGTTCTGAACCTATTAATTTCATTTTTATCTCGTGATCCCACATGTTTCTCATTGCCACTACGAGGGGAACCAATTTTTTTCAAATTTCAATTTATAAATTATAATTATTTTGTCTGATTTTTAACCTACATAAAAAGTATTAAAATCAGTCATTATTATTATTACTATTATTATTATTATTATAAAAAAACCCACTACACCGTTGAGAGTCGACCAAACAGAGGCAAAATATTTATAGCATGTGACGTTTCTACCAGCTCTAATATCACATGACTGAAGATGTGGTGGATAGCAGTTTTTGTTGCAGTGTGTGCAGAGCGGGTGTTTTTGTTTTGATTCAAATTAAATTATTTAAAACTGCTGTATTATAGTATATTATGTATCAAGTTTGATAAACGCCATTTTATACACGAATTTAATTTAGGCACGAGCGAGCTAGCGAGCGAGTTCTTAAATTAATGAGTGTATAGAAAAGTTTATAAACGAGGTGCATACTATACTTTTTCTACGACAAATACTTATTATTATCTTAAAATGATTTAAATCAAAAATTTGTATAGAGCGCCATCTATGAAACAATAGGGGAATCTGTGTGTCACCGTCAAATGTAAATTTTTTTTATTTTATAAACACAGATTATAAAGGTTATAAATCGAAATGTATTTCTTGAAAATTGACAGTTTTTCACAGTGAAAGTAAAGAAAATGTTTTATGAGCACTTTACAGTGGAGTCCGTGTCCGAATTTAAGTTATAGTTTACTGCCTGCGAAATTAAAAGGTCAGTACAATGTTCATATAAACTTTTCAAATATTGGCGTTGAGAAACTATTTAATACTTTTGTATTTTTGTATTGAGATAATATAATAATTTTCACATTTAGTATTATTTTACAAGAAAGGCAATTTATTTTAACGATTGTATGACATTTGACAACTGTCAACTAACTTAAAACTAACTTCAGCCCGTGACTAAAGCGCCATAAAGCCACAACTTGTCAATGTGTATTTAAAAGGTCACTTAGGGTCATGGAAACATCTACGATAAAGGGCGTTTTAAAGGTGGGAATAGAAAAAGATATTTAAACAGCCCCAAAACCTATCCTTGTGGCACCCCAAGTATAAAGACAAATTGGAACTATCGAGTTGTTTTTTTCGGATTTTTCGACTTTTCCTCGTACATGACAAACAAAACGAGCTGGATCGAATTTTCGAAAAAGGTTCCGCAATTGACGCGCCTACTTGCAACATAAACGTTGTTTAAATTACGTTGAGCAAACTTGCGGTTGCTTCACTTGGCGACCTCAAAACAGGATCAAAATCGAAAAATTCTCACAGACAATTTAATCACATTTACACAGTCCTAATAACATTTAATCTAGAAAGTATCGAGTTTGATTGATAAAAATTGGGAAATTTGTAATTAGGATAATTAAGCAATCCCCCAATAGGACAATAAATTATAATTTGAACTATTTTGAAGTATCTTATGTTTATTTATTCAGGTAAACATCGGAAATAAGTAAATACGTAGATGTTTGTTGTTTAGTTTAGAACACGAAACTTAATGTGTTCAGGACAGGTTCTGATTCACGCGAAAAAATATGGTGCAAAAAAAGATTATAACAGGAACACTAAATTAAACCGTGACTAAGCATACAGAAACATCCTGCTGAAATAAAAGTTGTTTTTGCTTATATTTTGACCTCGCTTTTTTCATATTTAAATTAAATATTTTTATCCCATCTAACGTCGGTCGCGTTACAAAATCATGTTGCAGTGAAATTGCAAAAACAATCGTTTGAAACTTTCATTCGAATGCTTTCACTATCCTAGGAGGTCGACGAACGGTTACAGATGCCAAAAACCCCGGAAAAAACACGTTGCGAAACTATTTTCTGTATTCCAAGTAGTGATCTCTGTTTTGCAAAACTATCTCTCTTTTTGTTTCAATAAAATGTCTGGAAGCATTTATAAAAATATTAATATAAATGGAAACATTTTGAAAATCAATTAGTTCTTCGGGAAGCTAAACAGGAAGAGGCACAACTTAAAAAACCATTAGAAAGAAAGTTCGCAAAGTAGGCCGTCCATACGTCAAACAAAAGCACACCTGGCCTCCTAGATAGCCCGTCTCCAAAACAAAACAAAACGAAAACAAACAAAGAAGATCAATCATTGGTATTGCAGGTACGATATGGAGTAAGTTTTTAAATGTCAGTTAACTAGGCTGAGTTTAAATTTAAATTGTGGCGAAATTTTTAACCAATCTGTCGGGAATTATTGCATGGCGTCGTCGGTTGGCAATATGCGCTCACACACACTCTCGCATATTTTGGCTCGGAGCTGAGTTCGAAACCTTTCGGTTTTTTATTGCCCAACCCTTTTTGTCGCAATTTACTTTGTACAAGAACTGTTGCTGCCGTAGCAGATTTTCGCAATGACACTTATATAGCAAATACTGTATTTTAAGCATTTTTAAATAATTAAGACATATATGTGCGAAGCCTGCGGGTATCTTATACAGGGTGTCCCAGAACAAAGGGGATATGCTGATAGCACACAGAGAAAAATTCGCAGATAGTTGGATTGGTTTTTCTAATTAGTTTGTTTAAGTTAATTTTATATAATTTGTTAGAAACAGTAAGATTTTATAATTCACCATTTGCACAATATTGTTAAAAATATTTCAAAAATAAATGTTAATCTTTTGTACAATATTGGACAATTTGTTCGAGAGTGAAGCATCACACCACCTAAGATAACCAATGAAATGATTTCCCGATGGAAATAAGACGCAGACCGGTCGCTCAACTGCAATCTGCATCATCAGTTTGCAGTTTTAGTTAGTGTTAGGAAGTGTATCATTGTGAGGTTAGTAGCACAATTCTGGTGAGTAATTATTGATTAATATTTTTCTGAATAGGTAGGCAGGTATTTGCAAAATTTTTAAGGGACTGGGATAAATCAATAATTATGACCTGGTGAACAAATGAAGATAAAAAGTATTTCTATGTTCCTACTGTGCTACATTATTGATCAGCTTATCTACTATTTACTTTGGTTTGTAATTTATGTTTATTTTATGTTTTCAGTTTATACTAACTTACTTCTATCCTTACAAAATTTTTGTGTTGGTCGCTAAATACATATTGTACTATTGTACTATTATAAGTTAAATAAATTATATCTCAATATTATTAGAATTAGCTATACGAATTTTATTTTTCAGTTAGTAGTTTATGTTTTGTTATGTTTATTTAATGTTGTCAGTGTTAGTTTATTTTAAGTTTAGGTATTCTATTTTCCATATTTTTTGTATAAGTCGCTGAATACATAGGTATCTATATTAATAATTTAGTTTCATTTTTCTTTTTACCAAAAATTATTATTAAACAATGTTGTGTTATTATGTGTCACAATTTGTGCAATTTCACCACAAAATATTATATTAAAAAAGTCTACCAAATATTTTACATATAATATCAACAATGCATCCAAAGTATCCTAGCAATTTAAAGAATTCCCTATGGCCATGTATTGGGATTGGCTATCATTTTTTATATAT